CAACAAAAACAGAATCCAATCTTATCTATAGTGACGCGACAAACCGCTGCTGGAGAGGTTCCATGCCGCGGCCAGTTTGGACCAACCTCACAGACTATAATGGATTCTATTTGAAGCAGTGATGTTCCACTTCACTGCTGCCCCCAGTGTGGACCCGGCTTTAGGCACGCCTGTGCAGAATTCATGCTGTCTAATCAGCATCTTGATATGCCACACTTACGAGGTGGTAAAGGAGAAGCACTCTCTAACACAGATTTCGACAGATTTGTCAACAATGTTTAAGAAAAAACCAGTGTTGTTCAAAAAATGTTGAACTATAAGCTGAACGAGTTCATTTTAAAATGTGTGTGTAAAACAAACTTTCCCAACCCTCAAAAACGTTTCCTGTAATTTTTTGCACACTATAAAATATACGTGTACAGGTCCTTCTCAAAAAATATGCATATTGTTATAAACTTCATTATTTTCTGTAATGTAGTAATTCAAGCCTTTTCTTGTTTCTAATATTGATGATTTTGGCATACAGCTCATGAAAACCCCAAATTCCTATCTAAAAAAAATGAGCATATCATGAAAAGGTTCTCTAAACGAGCTATTAACCTAATCATCTGAATCAACTAATTAACTCTAAACACCTGCAAAAGATTCACGAGGCTTTTAAAAACTCCCAGCCTGGTTCATTACTAAAAAAATCATGGGTAAGACTGCCGACCTGACTGCTGCCCAGAAAACCATCATTGACACCCTCAAGCAAGAGGGTAAGACACAGAAAGAAATTTCTGAAGGAATAGGCTGTTCCCAGAGTGCTGTATCAAGGCACCTCAGTGGGAAGTCTGTGGGAAGGAAAAAGTGTGGCAGAAAACGCTGCACAACGAGAAGAGGTGACCGGACCCTGAGGAAGATTGTGGAGAAGGACCGATTCCAGACCTTAGGGAACCTGCGGAAGCAGTGGACTGAGTCTGGAGTAGAAACATCCAGAGCCACCGTGTACAGGCGTGTGCAGGAAATGGGCTACAGGTGCCGCATTCCCCAGGTCAAGCCACTTTTGAACCAGAAACAGCGGCAGAAGCGCCTGACCTGGGCTACAGAGAAGCAGCACTGGACTGTTGCTCAGTGGTCCAAAGTACTTTTTTCGGATAAAAGCAAATTTTGCACGTCATTCGGAAATCAAGGTGCCAGAGTCTGGAGGAAGACTGGGCAGAGGGAAATGCCAAAATGCCTGAAGTCCAGTGTCAAGTACCCACAGTTAGTGATGGTCTGGGATGCCATGCCAGCTGCTGGTGTTGGTCCACTGTGCTTTATCAAGGGCAGGGTCAATGCAGCTAGCTATCAGGAGATTTTGGAGCACTTCATGCTTCCATCTGCTGAAAAGCTTTATGGAGATGAAGATTTCATTTTTCAGCCCGACCTGGCACCTGCTCACAGTGCCAAAACCACTGGTAAATGGTTTACTGACCATGGTATTACTGTGCTCAACCGGCCTGCCAACTCTCCTGACCTGAACCCCGTAGAGAATCTGTGGGATATTGTGAAGAGAAAATTGAGAGACGCAAGGCCCAACACTCTGGATAAGCTTAAGGCCGCTATCGAAGCACCCTGGGCCTCCACAACACCTCAGCAGTGCCACAGGCTGATTGCCTCCATGCCACGCCGCACTGAAGCAGTCATTTCTGCAAAAGGATTCCCGACCAAGTATTGAGTGCATAACTGAACATAATTATTAGAAGGTTGACTTTTTTTGTATGAAAAACACTTATCTTTTATTGGTCGGATTAAATATGCTAATTATTTGATTCATGAGTTTTGTGTTTTCATGAGCTGTATGCCAAAATTATCAGTATTAGAAACAATAAAAGGCTTGAACTACTTCAGTTGTGTGTAATCAATCTAATATATATGAAAGTCTAATGTTTATCAGTACATTAAAGACAATAATGAACTTTATCACAATATGCTAATTTTGTGAGAAGGACCTGTACAAATAAAATAATTTCTTTATTCTTAGTAAAGGTAAAAGGTTAGTCAAGTCACATAACTATGATATTAATTTGTTTAGTGTAAATGTTATCTCTGCTGCTCAAAGATCGAGTGTGTTGCATTTAAATAAGTCGACCTCTGTCAAACCTAACTGGGTTGGGATTGGTTGATTGAAGCTTAGCATGAATACAAATGAGTTTAGGTTGTTAAAATGATCTGTATAGAGTTTAATGTCGACTCATTGCGTTTCCCTGAATAAAAACAGTGAAAAAACTTTAGGATTATTTTCGTCTTTACTAGGAACGTAAAACATTTAAAACCTTTAGATGGGACTCAGTTGGGGTAGCCGTTCTGAGTCAAAGGTGAGTTTCTGCAGAGTAGGCGCAAGCAGGAGATGTGAAGATACATGTTCATTGGTGGATTTATGTGTGTGTGAGTATTTATGACTCATCTCGAAAAGGGTCACATGGGTCCCGCTCAGAGCTTTTCCCTCAGCCACCACTCTCGTTTCCTTTGAAATCATATTCATTCATGGTTTTAGCAGTTCAATATGAATGAAGTTTAATTCCCAGTGCAGGTCATGATGTATTAATTATGTTAAGCGCCTCTTGAGTGGTTTAAAATGTGTGCATTTATTAGAGGTAGAATAGCAACACAGGATGAGCTTTCTTATCTACATGAAGATATAAAACTTGAAATAAACCAGATTAGGTTAGATCAAATATTTCCCCCTCGTTTTCCCCTCATGACAAGAAAAATTGAATATTTGTTGCCTTTGGCGGTCTCTAGTGGTATGGAGCTTTAAAATAGTCGAATTCTTTGTTGTTGTATTTTTAATTATTTTAATTACCAATTAAATTTAAGGAAATATTTGTAAGTATTAATAATCAACAGCAGCTGTGCTGTTGTGGGATTGTAGAATTCGAGTATTTCCTTCACCCCAGTTGGTCCGTGTACTTCTGTCATTTTACTTTCATCTGCACTCGCGTGTTTATTTGAACTGAAGAGGCAGAGGGATGCTGCATGTTTGCATATCCTGGGTGGACTCCTTCTTTTATGTGTACTAAGTTCAATCCTGAGGCCAAAGCATGCTGATGACTCACAGCAAGGGTCCCAGTATTCCAGAGAAATCCTGTATGGGAGCATGCCAAGCGTCTGCCTCATTGTCCAAACACTAAAGAGATCCTGCTCCGAGCCTCGAAGCATGATCGTCTTGATCTGTTTTCACGCCACCCTGTAGTTAATGCTGCCCCGAGGCTGGCTGAAAGAAAAAAGAAAAATGAGTTTGTAGTTTCATTGTTTGCAAAAGCATTACTGTGTTTTCACAGAGCTGCGTGTTCATTGGTTAGGATGTCAGGGGAGTGTAGTTTGATATCTATGATGGATCAGGTAACAAGTTTTATTGAGGTTTACCTAAATGTGTCACATAATTAATAAATTAGCTGGTTCTACATTTCTGTCATTATCTTTTGGCCTTTTTTCCTCACAGAAACAAAGATGGATGGTTCATTTTGTCCAGTCGAACCTGAAATATTTGAATCAGGGACAATAAAAGCTTTATTTTTCATTATCTAATAATCAAAAGCTTTGTTTATTTGCTCATTTTCTGTGCAGATTAGATGTACCAATTATTTTTGCATGCATCTTGTAGATTTTTAATATACTTTGCACTTTTTGTGATAATAAGAAAGGTTTTTGTTAGTTTTATAATAAAATAATGACAAATGTGCTCAATTCTTTCTCCCACATGCATACATAGATCAGAGTATGTGGGAATAAGCGTCTAACTGGGGTGACCTGAATTTAAAAGGGGAGAAAAGCCTCATCAGGGTGCAGTGAGCTGTATATCAGTGTTTCATTATGAAAGGGACTTTTTCTTCAGTGCAGAACAAGTCATTTAGAGAGTGCTTGGTTAGAGAAAGTCCATTAATGTGCTGCTGTATTATACCTCTTCCCTCTTGTTTACCCTCAGAGTATTTCTTGTTGCATTAGTTTGTGACTAGTCTCACTTTTAGCTTTGCAACCAAAGTGTTCCAGTAAAAAAGCAATAAAAGTTGAATCAGTTTCAGTTTTTCAACCTGAAACCAGTCAGGTTTTAACCTGCTCTTACTGAATTTCTGATGAAACTCTTTCACGTCCAGCCTTGTGCGCCTGCTGAGTTGACACCTTAACCCAAGATTCATTCTGTGAAAGTGCTGCGTCACCCAGAGCTATTTACGTGGAGACGGGAGGCAACGGCCACTTCTGAAATTAACCCTTTGTGAGCCAGGATGTCAGATGCAAACAGACTCTCACACACATGCACTCGGTGTGCAGGAGGCTTGACTGTGCAGCCCAGGCTGAATGAATCAGAAACGGGTCGATATGACTGGAAATGGGGACCATTCGCGTCTGGAATGACACAGCGTTTACCTCAAGAAGTTTCAGTGCTAAAGAATATGAGCTTCCAGTCAGATAGGGGAGGCTTGTGCTACAGCCGGTTGCACCAGGGACTCTCACTCCAATCAAAGAAACACACTTTGCAAGCCAAAGTACAGCTTTGACTGGTTTTTATCTGTTGTGTCTCTCAGCACTGCAAGATTAAACTAAGTAAGAAAATGCAAGGTTGGCTTGTTCTAAAACGGAAAAATTATATTTAAGGGCGACATATTACAAAACTTGTTTTACATCCTTTTGTGCTGCCATGTGAGTCTCTGCTGCCGCTGCTACTCAGCCATCGGAACCACGACGAAGCAGGGACTGAAGCGTAGGGGGAAAGGTGTTGGAAAAGGCGGCCAAACTGAACCACACCCTCCCGAGTCATGCTGAGTAGTGCTGTTGGAAAAGGCCTATTTCTGTGACCTACACAAAGAAAACACAAATGAACAATGGCATCAAGATAATCTTAGAACAATAATCCCAGTCCTGAATATTTTACTTTTTAAAATCACACATTGAATTTGATTTATGATGTGGAATTTGCTCCCTGTGTTGAACGTGTCAACCGATCATGGATGCTTTCATCTGCTCTTTGATCCCTTCAGCCAAAAGCAGAGATTTGTTGCACAACAAACTGGAATCTGAAGTGGTACCCAAAGTGGCCCGCATGACCGTTTCTGGGAAGAAGCAGACCATGGGATTCGATGTTCCGAGGTATCTAAGAACCACTCTCTGCAAGATTCAAGTGGGGATTAGTTCTGTATTTAGCACCTTACATTTGTCTTCAGCACAGGGGAGAACGGGCTTGTGGTTACGTCGGTGCGGCGAGGTGGCAGCCCGGAGAATGCAGCTGTTCCTGAAGCCACCTTGAAACGACCCGAGACTCCGTCTAAAGGGTCCAATGGGGACGAGACCCCTTCTGGTGCCACACCGGGACGCTCTACTGGGAAGTCCCGTCAGACGATCAACATCAAGGCAGAGCTGGAGAAGAGACAACAGGGAAAACCACTTTTAAACCTAGTAGTTATAGGTAGGATGCAAAGACCGTAAGATGCAATAAATTCAAATAAAAACAAAGCCTGAAGCTTAGAAAGGCAGCAAATCTGCAGGGAATCATTTTTTGATACTGAGCATGTTTGTTGCACTGAGCCGGTGCTGGAAAATGATTAGTTGCACTCTGAGGTTCTCCATGTTTGGTGTTCTAATGTCAAACGAGTTAACCTCACACTGGCACAGTTACTCAGCCGTATTTTCTCATTCTCAGACCAGAAAATGTGACGGTGTAGTTTCAGAATTGCAGATGATTCTAGCTTCCCACAGAGAATGAAACCTTTCGTGTTGCTCTGGTCAACCCCCCCCACCCCCCCCCATATGTGTCTGCCTCTCTTCACTTGTGCAATTCTTATTTCCTCCTCCCCGGTTTCCCTTCTCCTTGTTTTATCTTACCTCCTCCTTTCACCAGCCTTATCATCTTTCGCTAATTCTTCCTCTTTCTTTTATCTTCGCTTTCCCCATCATCAGGTCCTCAAACATCCTCTCTTTGATACCTTCATAACTCATTTTTTCCATCCTCTTCAGGTCATGTGGATGCTGGTAAGAGCACATTAATGGGCCACCTACTTTATCTGCTGGGCAACGTCAACAAGCGCACCATGCACAAGTACGAGCAGGAGTCAAAAAAGGCGGGAAAAGCCTCCTTTGCCTACGCATGGGTTCTGGATGAAACTGGCGAGGAGAGGGACAGGTAGACCCAGACTGTTACAACTACACAAAGAACAAGTCAAATATACAAAAACAGTTTATTAACATGATGGTATAACTTGTGTTCATGTAATGGGTTTGAGACAGATGTAAAGATGTATTTGAAGTCCAGCTGGTGATGCTGGGGGACAGCCCAGCATCTGAATCTTGTACGATCCAGACAGGATTTGGTTTATTTGAAGGATCTTTGCTGCGACCGCTAACGCGTGTGCAATAATAGTGTAAATAAGTGTTGTTGCAACTATGTCACTGCTTTGAGTTGTTGTTTCGAGAGTGAAACGGAAGCGAAATACGGCAGAAACAGAAAGTGTCTTGGGTGGGAATACTGAGACATTTATCACTAACTTCTGAAGTAGATGCTCATTATTGGAGAGCCACACCCACCAGAGGAATGTTCATATTGTAGAAATATAAAATGACATCTGGGTTTTATTTATAACTCTTCGTTAGCTCAATGTTTAATAATGTTTGTCCTATTTGAAGCTTTTCAAATGTTGATTCAGTTGGTCTTTGTGTTTTCTCTCTAGAGGCGTGACGATGGATGTGGGGATGACTAAGTTTGAGACGAACTCCAAGGTGGTGACCCTGATGGATGCACCAGGTCACAAAGACTTCATTCCCAACATGATCACAGGCGCTGCACAGGTACACAACGCAGAACCTTTGGAGAAGCCTTCACATGGAGATAAATGGACCCAGATAATGTTAAAAAAGTACAATTTTCAGGTTATAGGAGCCTAATTTAAAGGCACAACGGGTTTCTGCTAGGGATGCTCCATACTGGCTTTTCTTACCAATATACAATATTGTCTGACTCTTGAAGAGCAAGTCACCCCTACAAGAGTCTTACTCCACTCCCACTTCCTGTTTGAAAAAGGCAACAAATGCTGATATCTGGCAGACTGAGAGGGCGGAGCCACAAAGAAACGCACACACAGGCTCACGACATTGTGACATCGTAATGTACCAGCTAACATCATAATGTACCTCTTAGCCAATAACGATGGCAGATTTAAATTCAAATGCTGTGCTGAGTTTTTACCTGAAGAGGGTGCAACACAGAGTTTTAGGCAGAATATTTAAAATTTTACCTAAGATGTATTAAAGGGCCAAATTATTGACTACATGTTTCTGCAGCATGATTAGACATGCATTTTTATAGCTTATCAACAAAAAACGTTGATTTGGGGGTGATTTGCTCTTTAATGTCCGACACCAATATAAACAGATATATTGAGGGTCCCCGTCTCATAAAAAAGAAATACTAAAACATTTTAGGCTACTAACATTGCATATCTCCTATGTGCATGCTTAAATTTTAAATATTTAAATATTTTCCAGTTTATTTACTTAAACTAAAGTTTAAGTAAGTAAATATAACTTAAGTTTCATATTTATTTAGTCTCTAACAGCACCTGAATTTTCTCTATATTTTTCTTCAGATACAAAAAGCAAGCCTTGGAGGAAGGTTGTCATTTTGGCTTTAGTTGTTTGCTAGCTGGCTAGCTACACAAAGCTACGTGCTCTTGAGGACAGCGTACGTTCACTGCACAAGGCAAATGTCTACTTCGCAGGTGCAAAATAAACTAGAAGATGTCAAAAATATTTACTTCAGATCTGACATATTTTTACATTTTTAGATAGAGGAGAAGTAGCTAAAGAGTTTGAAATATAAAACATGCACAGTGTGTAAAAGTTGTGTCATTAAAAGATGGAAAACCAATACCGAATTTTTAAATATTAAATTTTAATGCCGATATCAGCCGATAATAATGGTAGATCGATAATTTTGAACATCCCTAGTTTCTGCTTTCGTAGGAACTTTCTGACCCCAAGAAATTAAATCTATTCTTAATAGACACTCACACAAATGTACAGTTCCCTTACGGTAAGTTTGGCATTTATTTGCTGTGGGAATTAGATGAGAAGCTAGTTACTACTACTAGAAGCTTTAGAAGCTAGGGCGACTGCCAAATCCTCAGTGCTTATCCTGCTCGACTTATCGGCTACATTTGACACTGCCAACCATGGCTTCCTTTTGTCCACACTCTCTAGCATGGGCATCACAGAGAAAGCACACGCCTGGTTTGAATCGTACCTCACAGGATGATCATTCAGCGTATCTCAGCTTGGACAATCCTCTACCGTGCACCATCTTGCCACAGGAGTCCCCCAGGGCTCTGTACTAGGACCTCTTCTCTTTGCCCTATACACCACCTCACTGGGTGAGATCATTCGATCACATGGCTTCTCCTACTACTGCTATGCAGACGTCACCCAGCTCTATCTGTCATTTCCACCGGACGACCACACTGTCTCTGCTCGAATATCAAACTGTCTCTCTGACATATCAAAATGGATGACATCCCACCATCTCCAACTCAACCTCTCTAAATCTGAACTACTTGTCATCCCAGCAAAACCATCCATAAAGCACAATATCTCAATCCAAAATGACTTCCCATCTCTGGCTCCTTCAAAGGCAGTTCGAAATCTGGGTGTTGTGATTGATGAACACCTGACCTTTAAAGATCATGTTGCCTCTGTTGCTCGTTCATGCCGCTTTGTGCTGTATAACATACGAAAGATCAGACCATACCTAACACAACATGCCACCCAGCTCCTGGTGCAATCTACTGTCATCTCCCGCCTCGATTACTGCAATGTCCTTCTAACTGGTCTTCCAGGCTGTACTGTGAGACCTCTTCAAATGGTCCAGAATGCAGCGGCGCGTCTGGTCTTCAATCAGCCAAAAAGAGCACACGTCACCCCTCTGTTCATTGAGCTCCACTGGCTACCGCTAGCAGCACGCATCAAAATCAAATTGCTAACACTAGCATACAAAGTCCGAGATGGTACGGCTCCCATCTACCTGTGTCAAGTTCCTCTTTTAGGTGAGTAAAATCCCCACTTGACTGGGATCATCTGCTGGAGAAATATACGCAGGATTCCACTCAGGACTTCATGACTTCACTTTTCATTTTCCTTTATTTCATTTCCATTTCATATTATTCAAGACGGAAATAGGAGATGATGAAGCACGAAGCAAGGCAAAGCCTACGAGCAGGTGAAAAACCTTAAACAAAAACAGTGTGTGCTAAGAAACAGTGTAATTGTGTAAAATTCTATTATCTCTATATAAACTACCTTTCATAAAATAGGTAAATGCGTGATTTCAACATGATGTATATATATATTTTTTGAGCTAACATTTATAAAATACATGATTAATTCATTCGGACCCAAACTCACTTAAATTCATCACTTCAGCTATTTATGTTTCAATTTTACATCACAACATTAAATAATTAGCAGATTTGAAGTAGCTTATTAACAATCAAACACCAAGCTGATTTCTAAACACCCAACACAAACATTTATGACGCGCACCGGAGTCCACAGTGTCAGCTCCGAGCTGCGCTTAACCATCACCCATCAGCTGATCGGCATGCACACACGCGTTACAAATCGGCGTCTTACCGGCTGCCTCTCCAGTCTTCAGATGAATGTCATTAGCACCGTTTCGGAGGATCACCACGTTGGTGCTTCCTCTAGGAACTTTCACAACCAGTTTTCTCTCCTGACATGTCCTACATAAAACATTTCAGGTAATGCGCGATGACGTTCTGAGACGTGGAGCGACACGCACACTGACCTTAAATAGTTCCAGCTGTTTCATAACCACCTACCCAGTGTGTCTTTTTTTTCAATTATTTTTCAACTTTTTTATGTTTCTATTTGAGTTTTTTATTTCGATCTAAATACAATGCTGTATGATCAAGACTTTGACCGCACAACCTAAATCCTCTTGCAAAGGCTTACGTCTCGGCCCGGCCGCTCCGGTCATCACAGGATCGTCGGCTAGCAGTGCCTACACCACGCTCAGGACAATCCAGACTCTTCTCATGCATCGTTCCACAAATGTGGAATAACCTTCCAAGCACTACCAGAACAGCGGCTTCCTTTTCAATTTTCCAGAAACTCCTGAAGACCCTGCTCTTCAGAGAGCATCTTCTAAACTAGCACCCTCCCTGCATCCGTCCCCCCTCTCTACTGTCCACTCCTTGTTCCCTCCTCTCCATGATTCATCATGCTGCCTCACTGCCTCCTACGACTGACTGGAAATTGGCTGTTGTTGTTGTTGTTGTTAACCTCAAGGGCAACATGCTGATTATCACTTGTAAGTCGCTTTGGACAAAAGCGTCTGCTAAACGCATAAACATAAACATACTACTACTACTACTACTACTACTACTACTACTACTACTACTATCACTACTACATCACGAGTAATAACTTCAGAATTGTTCCATTTATGATGTTGTAAAGGCTAAAAACTGCATTTGCATACTTGAAGACGCTTTGTAACTGGCCTCTGATCGATCAGAACTCATCTTTATATTTCCAAATTGAGGCCACTCTAACAGTTATCTGCAGCTTTACTTGTTTTACTTCTCCATGACTTCCACAGAACCTTATTTTAAAAGATGTGAATTAAAACTGGTCTAATGTTTATAAAAACCAACATTCATTATAAATATCATGTTTATTATTACAAATATGTGTTTTTAATGTGCTAATGTCACCATTTAGGCACACGTAATTGTCTCTTGATTATTTTATGAGAAGAGATCTGTTTATTTTAGCAGCAAAAATGTTTGATCCTTAAACGTTCTCCTGACATTAAAACCTCTCGATTAAATGATGCCCCGCCCCGCCCCGCCCTTTGCTCCAACATCTTGCCACTCCCGTCAGGGCGATTGTTTGTGGTTTTGGGCGTTGTTCTCACAAGGTGTTTTTTGTAAGCAAGGGTGTTCTCGTCTGCGTTTTAACTTTTCTTTATCCTTTTTGACTGTAAAGACGTGTGACCTCATTTGTGTAGTGAGTGAGGGGGTTTGTGTTTGAGCTAAACTCCTTTGTCATGGAAGCGTTGTGGTCTGGCAGGCTCCAGATGATGCTACGGCCTCTTGTGTTCATGGATGCTTAAGAAATTACACTCAAACATGGCCGCTGATATGAAAAGCTGACTTTCCTTTTCACTGGGATTCCAAGGATTAGAATATCTAACATAGCAGATCAGGTGAAGAAAGTAACGTCTTTCTCACTTCTAAGGCTTAAACATCCTTATATGGGGTTAAAATTAGGTGAAAATTAAGATAAACTTCAACAGATTATTTATTAGAGTTCCCATCCCATAATCTGAAGCCCATAAGCTCTTTTAGTGATGGTAGCTTGAATGTGTTTTCTGTATGACCTCATCATTGTCTGACATTGCTGTGGGGGAATTTCAGCCCACTTATTTTATTATTATTATTATTATTTACAGTGTTTCTCCATTTTATTCAGGTTTGCATGACTTTTCATTTTTGTTCTGAGCTGTCTTGGTCCTGCAACAAAACCAAGCTGATGTTGAGACTTTGTCCTTGAAACTTTAGTCCACAATCACTGGGATCATTGTTTCTTTGCATGATTGCAGCTTGGTCCAGGCTTTATAGTTTTTCTTTATTACTCAGTCAAATAAAAGTACATTTAACAAAAAAATAAAGAAAATCTGAGTTAAAGGGGCATTATGAAAGTTTGACAGCCAAAACATGTATAGAAATAATAAATGTCTTCTTCATACATTCTCCTGCAATGCCCTGGTCCTGTAGAATGAGCCCTGGCATTTTTACTGTGATTGCCTGTTTTTCTGTAAAATCACAGAAAGAGAGCTGCTCGGGTCGAGCAGGCTGCTTCATGCGCGTTCACGCTCAGTCATCACCCGTAGCATTTGCTATCCGTAGCTTTAGCAGCAGAGAGAGAGGTAGTGCCACTTTGTCGCTGTTCCTAACGCCTAGTGACAACGCTAGCTACATTTCTGAGGACCCTTAGCTACTTTCTGTAGAACTTTCTTCTAGATATTTCCTGCAAATTAGCAACAAAATAGCCATTTTCACTCCGAACCGTTCTTTGGTTTGACGTTGTTTCAGCTGTCATCAAGGATATAAATGTTACAGATACGTCAAATGTTACTGGTGCTTTAGCTCACCTAGTAAGTTGTCTGACTCTCGTGCTGAAGACTTGGGTTTGATTCTGGGTGTGAACATACATTATTTAGAGTTTCATTTTGATCTCCCTCCAGGCTGACGTCGCCGTGCTCGTAGTGGATGCCAGCAGAGGAGAGTTTGAGGCCGGCTTTGAAGCGGGCGGTCAGACCAGAGAGCATGCTCTGTTGGTGCGCTCGCTGGGTGTCACTCAGCTGGCTGTGGCTGTCAACAAGATGGACCAGGTCAGAAGTTATCCTCAGTGCTCCAAAACACGAGCAGGGGAGTCCGACTGCTAGCAACTGTACAAAAATCATTAGTTTTTCTTTTTGTTGATATGTTTGTCAGGCTTTGTTTTTAAATTGGATCAGATATTCGCTTCTTCAAATCAGTCAAAAAAATTCCAACAATCCCAGTTTGGTGAACGGGTGGTGTATATATCACCGGCACATTGCTGACACATTTCCATATCGAAGCCACACTAAAGGGGAAACTTTCTTCTTGTGTGTACTTCCTCTGTGTGTTTACAAATCAGGTAAACTGGCAACAAGAGCGATTCCAAGAAATCACCTCAAAACTTGGTCATTTCCTCAAGCAGGCAGGATTCAAGGTGAGATGGAGCTAAAATACCTGAAGTCTGAATCCTTCTCCGTCAGCATGAAGGCACCAAGTCCAGCTTTTTGCTTTATTCTGACATTTGTTTCTGTTTTCTAGGAGTCTGATGTGTTCTTCGTCCCCACCAGCGGTTTGTCAGGGGAGAACCTCGTCACCAGGAGTACTGCGTCACAGCTCACATCCTGGTACTCTGGACCCAGCCTGCTGGAGCAGATCGGTAAGCCGTCACTGCGCGGCGAGTGTCATACTGAGCCAACGTTGGTTTAAATTTTCCTCATTCTGACAGAACAGTGATTAATATGTGGAATGCAAAAAGAGCTTCTGAAAACTTTAAAGCTGTTGCTCTTTATTTAGCCACGAGTCTTACTGAAACCAACTCACAGTACGCAAATGCTGCTGGAGATATTTCTGCAGTTGTTTCCAATGTTAGACTCGGCTAATAACAGATATGTTTGTTTTCGTCTACGGTAAAGCAGCAGCGTTTGTTTTAGCACATTTAAAAACTGTTTGAAAGTGTTTCACCCAAATAAAATATGACAAAAGCATGAAAAAGGAAAAAACAAACAACGCTAGATCACATTTACACTTTTATGCAGCAAATATAAAAAATCTGATTTTACTGTTTTACAATCTTGTACAAATTTGGAAACCAGTTGGCATTTAGTTTGGGAGTAGCTAAACATTTCTTGTGTTGTATATTAAAATGCACAGTAGTTTACCTCGAGGTAGTGATGCACCGATACGAAATAGTTGGGCCGATACCAATATCTGATATTATATTACTATTATGGCCGATAACCGATATTTGCCGATACCAATATACTGACATTGATGCTTCTAAAATCAGCAGGTTTTGTATCGAATGAAAATGATTAAAGCTGGACTTACGTTATTATGTACACACAACACACACCTTTACGCTTCTGAGATGATTACAATCACTGTCACATGACTAAACTAACACACATCACCCCCGCCCCCCAACCCTCTGAAACAGATAAACAAATGGAAACAAGATGGAAAAAATATCGGTTGTTAATATTGGCCCAGTATTATTTATCGGACCGATACCAACATGTTAAAAAATAATTAACATCAGCCGATACCGATATTGATGCCAGTTTATTGCGCATCCCTACCTCAAGGTATAACATTAAAATCAGATTTATGTGATTTTATCAGCTGCAGATTGTCTGTTTATCCTGCAGTTGGATGCTAAATGCAGCAGGGCTCCCAAGATAGTCACAACTACATTGACTACCAAAACTGTTGACAGCAAATGTAATTTATGGAGTTTTGTTTTATACCCTCCGCTGCATGAGGGTATAAATAAGTTTTCTCCGTGGGGTAGCTGGGTCCAGTCTTAGGGATAGGGTGAGGCGCTTGGACGTTCGGGAGAGATTCAGAGTAGAGCTGCTGCTCCTCCATCGAGACGAGTTGTGGGTTCCTTTTATGGATTCAGTAAGACACGAAAGATTAGACGTAGGGCTTTATTTTCAGTTTTACAAACTAGTTCTTTAGGACAGCGGGTTGCCGAGAGCCTTCGGCCAAACCTCCTCGAAAATGCCTCTCACATCAAATCAGAGACTATTTCAATACTTTTACCGACGTCAGCCTTGCATAACCAGGAATTGGACCTTACACACACGAGTTGAAACTTGTTGGGAGGCACCATATTTCCAGCAGATTCTGGACCAAAACAGCATACACCTGCTTGCTGTCGACTTCAGATAAATATTCTTACTGCAACTGAAAAAGCAGGATGCTGACATTTTGCAGAGCATGTACGACCTTGGTTCACAGGCTCACCTTTTAGCTCCAACAGAGTCAGTTGAGTTGTTAGGATGTCTCCTGGACGCCTCCCAAGGGAGGTGTTTCAGACATGTCCTGCCAGCAGGAGGCCCCCTGGTAGACCCAGGACACGTTGGAGAAAGTACATCTCCGAACTGGCCCAGTAACACCTTGGGGTCCTACCAGAGGAGCTGGCGAAGGTGGCCGGGGAGAGGACGGTCTGGAACTCCCTAGTTGGGATACTGACCCCGTGACCCGGACCCAGATAGGTGGAAGAAGACGAGACCCTCCGCTGCTTCGTCTGTCTTTACGCCCTTGACAGACTTGCGCAGTAGCGGCCCTTGCGGTCAGCCCTGCCATCATCAGAAAAGGCCTAACAACCACGGTGAGCAGGTAACCGAGCCTGAACGTTTGGGAGCATTTTATAAAAAAATTCAAGAGAAATTAGCAAAATCTGCTAGTTCTAACCTGCCTGCCATGGCAACATGATGGTGATTCACAAGCATCTGAGAAGGAGGCTGAGACTCATGACGAAGAGGTCCTGGTTAGCTACAAGCGTCAACAGTGAGCTAGCTACTTGTATTGGTAGCTGTAACATTAACAGTAGTGAAGGCAATTTCATTACCCCAACACACTTCCTGTGTGAGATGTAACGTAACAAACATGAAGGTTTTATTTGAAGAGAAAGCATGTTGTGGCTGACGACAAATACCGATAGTCACTGATTGGCTAGCTAGCTGCTAACATCAACATTAACCTCAACTCAATACAATAACTTGTACTGATAACTGTTGGATTAATGATAGTGTGTTCATAAATAGGGTTGGCATCGAGCGTGGAGAGAAGACGGGATTATTTGTCAGTTGTTCCCAGAATCGTTCAAGTTTTTTTTATTCCTAATTCTTGTTTTGATACCGTCCACCAACTGAAAGAAGATGCTGCAGAGTACCACAAAGAAGACTGCTTAAAGTGTTTGCATCAGCGCACAACCATGGAAAATGTGCAAAGGGCGTCCTTAAGTGTGGCTTCACCTTTGAAAGTTCATGGAGAAGTTCAGTTTATTTATGGGCCATTCCCATCTGTACCGGGTCGGCCCGGGCCGGGTAGCCCCAGTCGGTCCCAGCCTGGCCCGGTTGATTCCACACATCCTTGCCTTAAGCCCATGTGGGCTGATTCTACCCACCAATCAGAGGCTTGCTTTAATGGAAGGTGTGAATTTGCTGTCAGCAGTGGGTGTGTTGGCCCTGGTCGGCCTGAAGCAGACCCCCTCGAGAAGAGGGCTGAGAATGAGCCTTGGTTGGCCCGGAAAAATACCAGGCCACCCAGATATGTAAACAACCTATGCTACCCGGCCCGGGCCGACCCGGTACAGATGGGAATGGCCCATAAGATCTACGGTTAGCTAGCTCATTTAAAACTTGCCTCTTGAAAGAATCGGAATAAAAGATCTTTAGGGACTGGAATCGAAACAAGGAATCTGAATCAGAATCGTTCACATTCAAACAATACCCAACGCTACCCTTCACACATATGTCATGTGCTTAGTGCCTTGTTTTTTATTTTCTTTAAGTTTCAACGCTCGGGTAAAGTTGTTGAATGAGCTTCTATCGTAATTGTTTCTTTATTTTTAGACTGCCCATAACACTTGGAGGTAGCACCTCGGGTTAGAAGCTAATGATGTTATCAGCTATAATTTACACACGATCTGATTAGTCCACTATCAAAATGCTCTAAAATCAATCATTTGAGTCTAATCTGAATCTCATTGTGGACTTTTTATTTCTCACTAATTTCCCCACAGACACCAGTAAGGTTTAAATGTTTATGTCCAGAGTATGCCATGGAAAGGACATGTACTGGATCTTACTGCAACGTCTGAGTTTTAGTTCCTGTTTGTAAGCATGTGTTCTAGTCCTGTGGTTGTTAAAGTGATGATATTCAGTGTCTGTTTTATTCCAGAGAAAATGATTCAACTTCTCCCGTCACTGCTCACAATGCCCACCAGACGTCCCTGCTGCTCAATCTTTACTTCCTTTTTTTGTCCTTTATGTCTTTTTCCTGTTCAGATGCATTCAAGGCCCCTCAGAGGTCCGTAGACAAACCCTTCAGACTGTGTGTCTCAGATGTGTTTAAAGGTAACATCAGTCCCTCCCACCTGAATGACGAACCTCCCCATGTGTGCTTTCTGTGACGTATGTTTCCTCTCTGCAGACCAGGGTTCAGGCTTCTGCGTTACAGGGAAGATCGAGGCCGGCTACATCCAAACTGGAGACAGAATCCTGGCGATGCCTCCCAATGAAACCTGCACTGTTAAAGGTATACTCTGGATGTGTTGTGATGGTTGTGTCAGTCTCATGAGATATAAATAAGTCTTTTTTCAGGGGGGCACATCCTTATTGCAGCAACGTGAGTGTACAGGAAAGAGAAATGCATCTGTGCGTCTGTGAAAGTTGATGCCTGGTGATGAACGCTGCCCTCCTGTGGCCACTGGATGAATTGCATGCCTTCTTTCTGCAGGAATTACTCTCCATGATGAGGCTTTGGACTGGGCTGTAGCAGGAGACCACGTCAGTCTCACGGTCACCGGCATGGACATCATCAAGATTAAGTAAAACTAAAAGAAATGTATTTTAAACATGATACTTTGTTCTTGCATGCCAATTACTCTCACTGCCTCCACCTAGTGTTGGCTGTGTGTTCTGCAACCCCAAAGAACCGATCCGGGCCTGCACTCGATTCAGAGCCAGAATCCTCCTCTTCAATATCGAGCTTCCGGTGACACAAGGCTTTCCAGTGAGTGCTTCATTCAGAAATGAACTTTTATTCATGCAGGCACATTTAGTAAGCCTTTGGGCGCCCTTTAGGTTGAGCAGGATTTTTTTTCTGCAACGTGGAAGTAGGGTCTTTGATTAATGTCGCTTTTAAGTATATTCACATAAGACTGTTTTTGGTGTTTTTAGTCAGACCAGCGTGTTAAGCTTGTCCTGTGTTAGTCTGGCATGATAACATGATTCTTTTGGGTTCTTCAAATCCGACATGGGTGGCTTTGCAGCTAAAATGTCTCCACCATGCTGATTCAGCTCAGTCGGACTCTGTTTGCGTCACCGTAGGTGCTGCTGCATTACCAGACCGTCAGCGAGCCGGCCACCATCAGGAAACTCATCAGCGTTCTACACAAGAGCAGCGGTGAAGTCCTCAAGAAGAAACCAAAGTGAGTTTTGGGAAAAGCTCGTTTTTCATCACAGAGTTGCTCGGTTTTCTAATTAAACACAGCTCATCTGTTAGTATGTGGGCAGACGAAGTAATCTGAGTATCTGGATGGAATATTTGAAGGTGCATCCTGTGTGTTTCTTTGTAAGGTGTTTGAATAAAGGCATGAATGCCATCGTGGAGATCCAAACCCAGAGACCCGTGTCATTAGAACTGTACAAGGACTACAAAGAACTGGGTCGCTTCATGCTGCGATACGTGGGCTCCACCATCGCTGCAGGGGTCGTCACTGAGGTGAGGCCATGTTGTTAAAACCACGTTTTCTGGTTTACCTCAGCTTGCATCCTCAGATCTTCTCTTTTTAAACTGCAGATCAAAGAATGAAGGCCGACTCCACCCATTCAGAGGAAGTCAGACTTCGCTCCGGTGCATCTTTCCAGCAAGAGATGCAGAACAAATCCTCAGAGATTCTGTAAATGGGAGTCAAAGCATCATTTCTACCCACCTGGTGGTCCCTGGCTGCTTCGACACTAACGTCACAGATGTCCTCACAGATCAAGACAGGTTTAAAGAACAAATCACATCTCCCACCACCTTCTGCAACATTAATCATCCAGTTTACAGCAGCGTTTTTACTTAAAGGTCTAATTACAAACCTGAAAGATGAAAGTATTTTGTCACTCGGTGCTTCCTGGGAAAGGGGTTGGGGATGTTTGCCAAATATATTTTTGCATCTTAAGTTAAATAGATGAATGAAGAAGATGTGGAGAAAGATGTGAACGCCTGCTCTCTGCTAGGCAGTCAAAAGCTGTAAAAAAGTCATTTAATTAGGAGGTGATGAAATGCTGCTACATTTGAGTAAAGCTGCAAAAATGCAGTTTTAAGACTTTTTTCTAGTATAATTTGAAGGTTTAAGTCTTAAATGACATAAGTAGAATATAGTTTGAGTTTTATTTTATAAATTTAAGTTTGCCTTTTGGTCAAACTGATCCGAACTGAGGGGGAAATAACAAAATATGTCCACCAGCATCTGGAGCATCTGCCTTTTAACGTGCATCTGTTCAGCGCGGCAAGATGGAAGCCAAAAAGAGACGGTGATCATTTCCTCTCAGCTGTAGGAGTGACACAACTGCAGCTGGCCTGTCAGCAGCCTGGAAAGCACCAAGAACACCATCAACACCAGAAATACAAATGCAAATCTTTGTTGGAAAAATCAAATAAATAGTTTGCAAGACTTGGAGCAAGCTTGACTTTCTGATTCCTGACATCTTTTGTTCTTCCAACATCCAGAAAGAAATCAGGTTAAGTTGGAACCAGAGTCTCTTCTGAGTGGCGGTATTTCTGCGTTTGCTGTTGGGTTGTTTACTTTTACGCAGCTTTTGAAACCAAGAACTTTATAATAAAACTCAAGAGTTTGGTTAAAATATGACATAAATGTCACCACGTGTATTCACAAGGGTTCCATGCTAGGTTAGCAGGAGCTGTTTTTTTTTTAAAAAGGACAATTTTGGACAAATGTAAGAATTCAGTTTGTTTATATAGCACCAAATCACAATTGTCGGCTCTTCACAAAGTGAAACATTCCAGTTCACTGTTGAGTGATTCATGCACCAGGATAAAAGAGATGGTCTTCTATAATGAATATGAACCTTTATTCATCGGTGGTTTTGTGAGGAAGACTGGGGTTTAAGTGGGAAAGTCAGTTTAGCAGCAGCATTTACTTATGAAGGATGACCGAAATTAGCTCTAGTGTTAATCTAGATCTAGTCTGGATCAGTGGTTCCTAATCTGGGGTCCATGCCCCCCCCCCCCCCCCCCCCCCCCCCAAAGATGTCCCCACTATTTGTCTCTGATGAACTAAAGCCCAGATGTTTCTGATTTCTACCAGTTTTCCAGCAGCTTCGGTGTTAATCACTAACCACAGAGTGGGAGGACCAGTGAGGACCAGGTTCACCCTAGGGTTTGCTTGTGCTTGAGACGAGAGCTGCAGCCCGTTTGGATGCTTTACTCTGACTGCAGCCATGCAAAACGGTGCAGAAAAGCCCAGTTTTTTGGTTCTGGAGAACTACATTGGAGGAAAGTTCATCCCTGGCAGGAGTCACATTGACTCCTATGATCCCTCCACTGGGGAGGTCTACTGCAAAGTACCGGACAGCGGCGAGGAGGAGGTGGGGGACATGATCATGTTGTGTTTTTGTGATCGTGTCGTGTATTTTATATCAGCTTTTGTAATGAAATTGTTTTACACAGAAGTAGATGCCTGTGCAAAATAAATGACAGATTGGTTTATGTTTGCTTGGACTTTAATTTGATTAAAATCCTTCTTGTTGAAATGTGAAAAACATGTAGAAGGTTCATTTTTGACACAAATACATCGTTTCATTTAGACACTGCTTCACGTCTGAGGAGGACCTTTGCTCTTTGCAGCGTCAACAGCCAAGCAATCATTAAACACTAAAGTCAATAAAAGTTTAACCTTTTTCTCCACGGGTGACGAGATTATAGTGAGCTACGAGAAAATACAGCTCTTTTGAAATAAAAGTACCTTTTTGTGTCGTTTGAATGACCAGCAAGTTTATTTTAATGCTTATTAAACTCGAAACTTGACATCCTGTAAACCCAAATGCATTTCATGAGAAACATGAGACCAAACAGCTGGTGATAAACACAGACACGGATATTCATATGATCTCTCCTCGTAGTTTAATTGTGCAAAATGTACATTTGGTACATAGTGCTACCGTAGGTCATTCATTCCCACTGCAGGACTATAACTCCGGAGCCAAACCAGTACTGGCATTACCTGGCTAAATCTGCATGGGCTGCATGGTGCCACAGTGGTTAGCACTGTTGCCTCGCAGCACGAAGGTTGCAGGTTCGAAACTCGGCTGCAGCCTTTCTGCGTGGAGTTGCGTGTTCTCCCCATGCATGAGTGGGTTTCCTCCGGGTACTCCAGTTTCCCCCACAGGTCACAACATGCCCTATAGGTTATAAATGTAAGTCGCTTTGGATAAAAGCGACTGTGTAATAAATAAACAAACATAAACGTAAATGCTAACATCAGAGCTATTCAATACCTGTGCAATGCACATTTGTATGTCTGTATCTTTTAGAATGTTTCTTCTTCGAAACTCAATGTTTCTATTTTTATTTAATTTTATTTTCTTATTGCTGAAGGTCAGATAATAGCCAAATGCCCTTGTGTAATGTTTTTCCTATTCTCCAAGTGAATGTGCTCCACGCTGGGGATCAATAAGGTCTACTCTATTCAAAACTGTTATTCTTGTAAAAATACAGCATGATGTTTGAGAATCAAATGCCGATGATGTCTTCAGGTGGACGCGGCGGTGGCGGCCGCAAAAAAGGCCTTCCCTGATTGGTCAGCGCGGAGTCCCCAGCAGCGAGCGGATGTCCTCAACAAGCTGGCGGATCTGATTGAAGCCAACATGGAGGACTTTGTCCAAGCTGAGTCCAGAGACCAAGGTGCTCTCTGACCCTCAGTAGTTCTTGCATCTAATTCAAGCCTGATGAATTAAAAAAATCTGTAAAATATTGGAATGTTTTAATAAACATTATAAACTTACATTATTGTTACTTTAATTTTTAATTATTACCTTTATTGTAGGTTTAGAGCACTGTTCTGTTACTGCTGGATATAAATATTTGAAAATTGAATCGTTTGGCACCACAACAAGGACCATACAGACGATAACTATAATAGAGAAAAAGGCCATTAGAATAATTAATAATGTGGGGTACAGGAACCATACAAATGCACTCTTTGTCGAAATGCAAGCTATTAAATTCCAAGACTTGGTGAAGCTCAAAACAGCACCAGTAATGTATAAAGTAAGAAATAAAGTGCTTCCAAAAGAAATCTGTGTATTGTTAAAAGAAAGAGAAGGTGGGTATAGCTTAAGAGGGAAATTGAAGTTAAAAATACAAAGTGCTAGAACAACTTTAAAAACTATGTCAGTCGCAGTTGCAGGAGTTAAATTACGGAACAGTCTAACAGAAGAGATTAAAGAAAGTAAAAACATAAACCAGTTTAAAGTAAAATATAAAAACCTAATTTTAAATAAGTGTAAGAATGAAGAAAACAGGGATAACCCAGGACGGTGAATGTGGATGGTTATGCTGTTGTGCTTCTTTTTGGTGTTTTTTGGTTTGTTTGGTTTTTCTTTTTTTCTTCATAACTGTTGAATCTGCAAATTTACACATTCTCTGTTTTCCATATGTTGTTTGTTTATTTTTTTAATATTTGTTTTCCATATGTTGTTTGTTTCATTTAAGATTGAAAGAAAATTAAATGAATGAGAGGTAAAACTTGGGGTAGGGACATATAAGTAAATACTTCTGCCTACTCCTTTCTAACAAACAATGGAATTAAATTTGGTAATGATACATGTGTGAAATGTTTGAAATAAAAATGAACTGAACAGAACTGAACAACCAACAGGAGGGGGAGAATCACTCGGAGTGGTCTTGTTTGTTTTGAAACATGAACTGCAGTACCAACTTTTGACCACAGGATGTCAGTCTTACTTCATGCACTTATGAAGTATTTTTTCTGATGATCACATCTAGGTAAAACCCTGATGTTCGCTCGTACCGTGGACATTCCTCGATCTGTGTACAACTTTCGCTTCTTTGCATCGTCCGTGCTCCACCACACCACCGACTGCAGCCAGATTGGCCACATGGGCTGCCTGAACTACACTGTGCGCTGTCCAGTGGGAGTGGGTAAGATCTCTGTGTATTTGCATTAATATTTGTAAATGTTCCGGTCTGAAATTGTTATTACTGGTGTTCTCAGCTGGTCTGATCAGTCCCTGGAACCTCCCTCTGTATCTATTGACATGGAAGATTGCACCTGCAATCGCTACCGGTAACACGGTGGTTGCCAAGCCCAGTGAGATGACCTCTGTGACCGCCTGGATGATGTGCAAGTTGATGCAGCAAGCTGGTAGGACTACAGTATGGCAATTTATGTGGCCAGCTCTCATGAGTCTTCTTTTGCACTAGCTGAATCTGGATAAACTATACTGACTGCACTTTTACTACACTCTTAAGAAATGAAATGTTTTTGCTATCTGTTTGGAACCAAAGTACTCCGAGTTTACCAAGATGCTGCACCACTTGATACTCCTAGTGAACTAATGCAATCTAAAAGGCTCATTACTATACTAGTTAGTGCAACTTTAAATATTTACTATGAACAGTGAGGTGGTACCTAGAAGGAGACATGGAGCTGTCTCTCTGCTGCAGGCGTCCCTCCAGGTGTGGTGAATCTTGTGTTTGGGACTGGTCCAAGAGCAGGTGATGCTCTTGTTGCCCACGCTGATGTCCCACTGATCTCCTTCACTGGTTCTTCAGCAACTGCCCAGCGCATCACTGAGCGGAGCGCCCCCTATTGTAAGAAGCTCTCCCTGGAGCTGGGGGGTAAAAACCCAGCCATTATTTTTGCTGATGCAGACATGGAGCAGTGTATAGAGACAACCATTCGCTCCAGTTTCTCCAATCAGGTGAGAGATTAACGCTGATACCATCTTTCTATGAGACACACTTAATTTTGAAATTAATTTTCGTGAGAATTTGGCTCAGATTTCCCACACAATGATGATTCCGCCACCGTGCTTCAAAGAGGAGAATGCATTATTTTTGTATTGCTTCTTCAGTTATTTTCCTTATTATTTATTAATTGTTTTGGGGTATTTTGCCAAACACACACACACACACACACACACACACACACACACACACACACACACACACACACACACACACACACACACACACACACATATTCCTAACCAGTATTTTATTTACTGTGCAGTTTGTGACCAGGGTGTAGTTACATATTATGGTCACATGTTGGAGATATTGGTTCACACTTTATCAAGAGAAAGTAAAACGACTCCTCTCTTCCCCCTCACAGGGAGAAATCTGCTTATGTACCAGCAGGATTTATGTAGAAAGGAGCATTTACTCTGAATTTCTACAAAAGTTTGTGGCTGCAGCTAAAAAGTGGAAGACTGGTTCTCCCTCTGACTCCCAAAACAACAATGGAGCTCTCATCAGTAAGGAGCACCTAGAGAAGGTGAGCTACACATAGTTTATATGTTTTCTTTTTTTAAAGAGCTTTAATTTAAAACATCTCTCTGCTTCTAATATCAAGGTTCGTGGCTTTGTGGCGCTTGCTAAATCAGAAGGTGCCATAATTCACTGTGGTGAGGGGGTTGACCAGCTGGACCTCCCTGCACACAACAAATCTGGCTACTTCATGCCAGCTACAGTTATCTCAGGCCTACCTGACAGCTCACGCGTCATGCAGGAGGAGATCTTTGGACCTGTCACCTGCATCAGCCCCTTTGACAGTGAGGAGGAAGCTGTTGCTAGGGGTAACGATGTGCGTTACGGCCTGTCTGCCACTGTGTGGTCCAGGGACGTGGGTAGGGTTCACCGGGTGGCAGAGCGGTTACAAGCGGGTCTGGTGTGGACCAACTGCTGGCTGGTGAGAGATCTGAATCTGCCTTTTGGAGGAATGAAGAGCTCTGGTGTGGGGAGGGAAGGAGGGAAGGATTCCTATCACTTCTTCACAGAGGTGAAGAGCATCACGATCAAACACTGAGAAGATCAAATCTTCCATCCTCTCAAATTGCTTAACATTGCAATTAAGTCACATCTCTAGATTTAATTTAAAAAAATCTAATAAAAGTTGAATAAAACACTTATTGTTTTTATTAGACGGGCACAGATTCTGGTTTGTACATCTCTGACCTGCTGATACAATCCTTAAAAAGCCTGAACATAAGATTAGCATAAAAAATAAATTAATGTGGAAATTATGACTTGGAAGTAAAAACTTCAACTTGGAACATTTGTTATTGCTGGTGTAAATGATTGGCGGTGTGCTTAAAGACCTGTGAAAATGTCTTGTTTCATTGCTACAAGGCAGTGGTGTGTTCATAAACCAATAAAAGAATAAAACTCCACCAGACATCAGATCTTTGAGTTCCAGATCAACCGACCACGTTAACCAGATTTTTTATTTTTAAGAAAGAGTTTATTTGTAGCAAGTAAACAAAAACTTCAATCAGAGTATTAGGATGACAAAATTTGAATATTAATTTGAGAAAGTAAAGGGAAAACTATTGTAAAAATTAAGATTCATTCACAAATTATGTCATCATGCTGCACATTAATCAGGATTTAAATGTTTTCGACATTCTGAAAACAAAAGCATTGATTTCTGTGTTTTTGTGTGTCTGAGGTCATAATTGTCCCTGAACTCATCGCTTTGTCCAGTTGTTTTGCTGCACTAACTGGAAACCTCACCCGAAGGCCGCATACTGGTCAACATGTTTGAGTCATCCTAGATAAGATCTATGACACACTTAAGGACAGACGTCAGTTTTTACTCTGATGTAGACAAAAGATCTGATTGTCAGATTATCTCTTAAAAAACAAAGTTTTACACCTTTTGAAGGCGGCTCTGCTCTGTTTTTATGATCTGATCCTCAGTAGATGATGACATGTGGTCAAAGTCTGCTGTCATCTGTGTGCCATTCAAACTTTAAGGTATGTACGATAGTTTTACGTGGACTTGTTTACGTGTCTGTTGACGTAAGACAGGTGAATGTGAGGTAAAGTGGTGGCAACAAGTGCGCCTGTCACGTGGAAAAATTACTTTAGCCGCTCTAGTAGAAAAATGTTTGCAATTTTACAGCTAGTGTTTTGTCTTTACCACACCTACTCTATGCTATGCTAAGAGCCATTAAAATACAATGTAAGAAATGTTAAATTTACTTAACTACAATAAGTTATGTCAACTGGTTCCACCAAACCTGCTTAAATGTAAAAAGTAATATACTTTTACTTTCAATAGAGCTGGACGATTTTGATAAAAAGCATATTGATAAAAAAATCTTTTGATCGATATCAATGGTTATTGATAACTATAAAAAATGTAGAAAATGTATTTTAACTGCAATCCTGGCCATTTGATGCCATTGGTTTATGATAAAACAAGTTTTTTTTTTCCTTTAAGCCTTCCACTGTCTTATCGGCTGATCCCGCCAGTAAAGCTGACCATTGAGCAGGGTTGATGGTTTATCCCTTGAGGTCGACATGGCAGGGGTGAGGAGTGAGCACAACCTCACCCCTGCCACGTCGACCTCAAGAGATAAAGCATCAATCCCGCTCAATGGTCAACTTCACTGGCGGGTTCACCCAATAAGACAGTGGAAGGCTTAAAAGTTATTTGTTTAATCTAAGGACTTTTTCCAAAGTGAGCCAATTGTGGGGATGGACATCTTGCCCAAGGATGCCTCGGCCCCTACTAGGGTGGACTCGAACTACCGACATATGGGTCGGCAGCCGAATGCGCTACTCGTTCTATCATAGCCGCCCCATGATAAAACAAATTGGTTTTGTTACCAACCTTGATTTTTAATCTTTATTTGTCATACTTATTAAAAACCAAAATATCACTGTGCTGGCGAACTACTGTAACCTTTTTAAGGGACTGTTTCCTTGCTGTTTTGGTTTGAGAGGGGAGGGCTTGGTGGCGGAGCATGCTGGGGTCTGTGTTTTTGATTGTCTGGGAGTAGTATTATTAGTATTGAGCTACCCAATAGGCTATAATAGAAAAAAGAAAATAAACTTTTTATTGAAGTTTTGTTAACCCAATTTCTTTATTGCGCCGTATGTCAGTCGATCGATTTATACAGTTATTGAATTATTGTCCAGCCCTAACTTCCAACATAACAGCATATAATACTCTAATTACTCTTTGCATTACCAACAACTGCTTAGCAACTTGGAACCAGCTAAACCAACACAACTTGGTTAAGTAATTTCAACATTTTATTTCATACAGTATATATGGAAAACGTTTTTATTGGTCCTCTGTATGCAAACAATGATACAATAATTAATCAACAAATAATAGCAATGCATTTTCTTCTGTTTGCGCTATGTGCTCCATCACGTTTCCCCTCGACTTTATGATGGTTACCTTCAACTCGTAACTATATAATTTGTAAACAATCACTTTGTCCCACATTCTGCTTTGCCTTCTGGTCCCGCACGTTTCTCACCTGATAAAGAATGTTTGTAGAGATAAGATATCAGCTGGCGTGACCCGGCTCTCATTTGAACAACATCTCGTATGTCAGGACCCGTTGGTGTCACATTATACCCCGCCAGCACCCTCGGGCACTGTTTTTCGTCATTGTGCATGATGAATGTTTTTAAAGGGCGTATTCAAAGCCAATCTGGGATTTTTTTGCTCCCACTGAGAGTGAGGGAAAACTGAAAATACAATGGTCTCACGTGAGTTCCACAAACACACGTCTGACACAAACACAAGTCTAAACTACACAACGAGAACCAGAAAATCACACAGGAGGAGTATAAGCAGGGAACATTGACTGATGACTCTTCTATGGGTTTATTCAAACCAAATAGACAAAACAAACAAATAAAAACATCAATGTGAGCCAGTAATCCATCCCTTTGTTCACATAACACAATCAAGCTTGACTCACGGGTACGCAGAAGCCAGAAACCTGAGCCCACCAGGGCCCTCTCGTTTAGCTCACTAAGAAGCTCTGAAACACTATAGATCCCTGAGTCCAGATCCATTTCAGTTATATTTCATTTTCTTGCTGATTTTGACTTTGTGATTTTCAGAAAACACAGTCTGAGTGCTGAAATGATCATGATATTAAATTTTGACCTAAACAACGATGAAGGCATCATTTAACATATTGTAATATTTTAAATTTTAGAAAGGCCTGAAATTTGCCACAAAACTGTATTTTAATACACACGCAGTACTTAGCTGTTCACTAGAGGGCAGAATACTTGTATAGGATGTGCTACATCAGGTTTATGAGGAACGTACCAATCCTGCTAAAGAGGTAAAGCCACTAGAAATAGACCTATCAAAAGGTTGAATACATTTTCTTATTATTTTAAAGCACCACCAAATCACTTTTCTAACTTTTCCTCCAAATGGTTGAAAGCAGAGTTATAACTGCCATAAACAGTGCAGCTTGCTGCAGCTAGTGCCTACAGTGACCTAATGCTAAGACGAGTTGGCAATACTAAATAAGTAACAAAGTAAAAAGACCCACTGTTGGACAAAAATATTATTACTTACAAATCCAGTAACAACAAAGCCAGGTCACCATCAGTCTGTTCTTCAGCTCGCTCAAATGAGTGTAGGACACAATGATGTTCAGTCTGGTTTTAGCTCTTTGCTTCACCGCCAGACATTACTGTCTTACTTTTACTTCCTGGTTCTACCAAATATGCTAAAAAAGCTAATTTGTTCTTCTTCTTGTGATTCTTATTGACAGTTGGCAAACTGAAAAAGCTAGCTGCTAGCATTTAAATGAGCTACCGGCACAGTAAACATCTATTGCCGTAAAGCATCCACTAGTGTGGTTCAGGTAAGAACCTGAACCACAAAACTGTAGTTTCTGGTCAGCAGAGGGCTGCAGAAAGCTGTCCAATGTGAAGTTCCTCTTGTTTCTGACTCAAGAACCACTGAAACCATTTTGAAAGCAATAGCTTAAAGTGGTAAAAACTCTTTAGTGTTGCTTTAATATAAATAGTGATTAAAATGCTGTTTGTTTTTGTATTGGGGGGGGGGGGGGGGTGTCATGTCGATGAAATCACAGAAGATCCGAACAAGAAAGTTAGAAAAACAAAACAAATCCCAAGTATTTATGACAGGATTGTAAAAATAAACACCGACCACGAAAACCAGACAGCTGACTAATCACAGACTGACCCCTGCTTGAGAAATGGCATGAAAAGCCTCTTCTTAAAGAACCGTGACCCTAAACAGATCAAAAGATGTTTGACAAAGACATGCATCCTTACACGCCACCTCCCATCTGCTCCTCTTTAGTCACTCATCACCTAGAGTCTCCCTTTCAAATGTAGTCATGGAGATGCAGCCTGCTGATCAGAATGTGAGAAACTGCCTAAGTTGGGTAAATATGTCAAGTTCAGGAAAAGAGGGCACACGGCAGGGAGGCAGCTCATCCGTTAAGTGAGTGTACAAGATCACGTCCACTTCTGAGCCACATGTGTGGAGCCAGAGTGTGTCCCCACCCTCTGTGTTTTGGCTAGAGAATGAGTATTGTACTGTCACGCTGCATGGTCACACACACACACACACACACACACACACGCACGCACGCACGCACGCACGCACGCACGCACGCACGCACGCACACACACACACACACGCACGCACGCACGCACACACACACACACACACACACACACACACACACACACACACACACACACACACACACACACACATAATGTGATATGTCACTGATACAACCCAAAGTTGTGTTAGGGTGTGTGTTTTGTTGCACACGTACTTACACTAGAAAAAAATAGACTAAGTTACCATTTATTTCACTTTCTTCTGTTTCAGTTGTTCTTATTTTTATCTTACATCTTTCGCTTTGTGGTGGCAATTGACAGGGAAAACCCTGCTGAGGGAGGTCTCAGCCCACTCTACGTGCAGTTTAGAGGACTCTGCATGATTTCATCCAAACCAAGCCTGTAGCTTTAATTAGTGGAGCAATAAAGATCTTTCCACTTCATAACTTCATAACTGCGAGTAAACAGGAAAACAAAGCTTTTGGATGGATTTTCTCACTGAGATGTTCTGCTTGTGGGAGCAGAAGCTACCAGCAGGTTCTCTTTGGGTGTTTTTGGCCAACATTCGGCACAATTAGTGAAATATCAACATTTTTGTCTAATTGTAAATTAATGAAAACATTTTGTTAATTTTTAGCAATATGTTTAAGAAACATGGTTGTTAGAATACCTGGTAAAGGTAAATAAAAGACGTCCAATCAGTGGTGAAAACACTGCCCACCACTTTATGTCTCCCTCCCCGTGCTCACGTGTTGCATTTGAGTTGAGGGAATTTTCCACAGAGGTTCAGCCTGGATTT